TAGAACAAAGAGTCATGCCCCCAGTCCTTTATTACTTTAGGTATTTTTCAAGTAGGGTCTCTTACTAACTTTTCCCAGATTGGCCTTAGTCTCGATCCTCCCACCTCTGTCTCTCACACAGCTGGGGTTATGGGCACACACCATCACATCCAACTTGTTCCTTGACAGAATCTGGCTAACTTTTTGCCTTGGTTTGCCCCAAACAGAGAATTCCTTCCATCTCTGTCTCCTGAGTAGCTGGGATTTCAGGCACAGCCACCGTAACTGGCCTTTAAGCATGTGCCTTGGTTTTGTGACCTCTAGGAGACCGGTCTTTTGGGATAGGAAACCAAATAAATTAGATGGATTTGCAATGTCAGTGTGTGGCTGTTAGCAATCTGAATCTCTTTGCTTCTGTCTCACTCCCCTCCTCTGTAAATCGAGGATGAGAAGCTCAAAATGAGAAGACTGCCATAGAGAGCTCAAGAGCTGGTGGCCAGAGGGCAGGAAGAGAAGGGGCAAAGCTAACTGTAGGGTACAATGGTGGACAGAGCAGAGCCCAATACCGTGTGCCTCACAGGGTTGGGAGGGCCTAGAGCCAGTCCTCCCTAGTCCTTTCAGGGACTGGCTGAGCCCTCAGTGAGAGCCTGTGACCGGGTTTGGGATGGGGGAAGAAAAGGCATGGGAGGTAAAGGGAGCTACCAGCCTGCCCTCAGAGAGGTAGGAGAAGAGGAAACAACATCAGGAGAGGAGGTGGGGCCAGAGAGCCGTTCTCCATGAGCTGGGGAGACCAGGGCATGGTTCCATGCTGATAGAAAGGAGCTGGAAAAGGGGCTAGAGGTCTCTATGCAGCCACTTGTCCACCAAGGCCTTTGCTCTGCCCTCAGCACCCCCTCACCTCCCTCTTCTTTAAACGATCTTCCATTGTGTGACTCTGCATGCACTGGACACAGCACTCTGTGGCAGAGGATAGGAAGGGCTGATGATGACAAGCCCAAACCAAAACTCTGTAGCCGGCTATTCCCTCCCACTCAAAGGTGCTGGGTGGCCATCCCCGGGTGCTCCTCAAGCTTTCTGCCCCATGTGCATTCTTCCCCAGAGGCGTTCTGGCTATTCTCTTTTCCGTTGGATCCTTTCCCAGGGTGTATCATGCTCCTGTTCACAGGCCCATTGGCCATTCCTGGGTGACAGCCATACCTGCCAGATCTCAGCCTCTCCTGATGGCCGGGCACCCTGCTTCCCCTTCCTGCATGGGATCTCCTGTATCTTCCTCTTTACTTGTTCCATCTGGAGTTGAGTCCCACCCTTCCCCAACACCCTGTCACTGTGCTTCTCTCTTGTTGGGACACCCACATTCACATTTTTGCTTTGTTCCTCAATTGGCAAAACTTCATGTGGTAGTGATCATTGAATATATCCATTAAATTGGGACCTTCCTGATGATCCTGCTCCCCTCAATGAGCCATGAGGGGAGCCATGAGCGGCTGTTATAGCCAAGATTGGTGAGCAGAGCCTGGAGTCCTCCCTCCCCTTTTCCCAGGCTAATTGTCCTCAGGAAGCTCCAGCCTAGCCATTTCCTAGTTGACTTGACTGGTCCCAGCTTTGTTCACACGGACAGCTACAAGCTCCCCTCCTGGTCAGTATCAGGGAAGCGAGTAAGCTGTGAAGGTCACTGCCTGGAACTGGTCACTGACCAGCATGAAGCACTTAACAATGTCCAGCTTGGTCTGGAGAATGCACAAAGTGATGGAGCTGTAAGTGGGAGGGGAACCATGGATGCTACCAGGCCCAGCTAGTAAGTTCCTCAGTCAGCACCATAAGTCAGAAAGAACATGGCCCCTGTGCCCAAGTTTGAATGGTCAGTGATTCTCAGGGTGTTCTGGAGCAAGCCACCAAACCCTGGTACCTGTGCTTTTCGTGGAACAAGCAGTTGAGGTCTGTGGTCTGGGAAGCTCCCCTTCGATATACTCTGCGGCAATTCCTTACTTCACCAAGTCAGAGCGGTGGGACCAGGGCTACCCGTCAGCATGGCTGGAAGGCACTGCATCCCTCTTGCGTGGGACTGTTTCCTCCTGGAGTGCAGCAGCAATGTCTGACAACATTTGGGGACTATTCCTGCCTGAAATGCTCCGCAGAGAAAGCCCAGAGGCCCCAACCAAGAACCAAGGCCATGCCTGGTCAGCTGAGATGAGACCAGCTCCAGGAACACCTCCCTGAAGGGTGGTACAGCACAGAGATGGACGAGAGGGGAAAAGGAAGGGGAACACATAGGCTCTGCTACTGGTGATCCATGTACATTTCAATTCCTGTTTCTTTGTATTGACATGAGTGGGGCTAATGCCACAACCCACAGAACAATGAAGTTAGAACAGTGAAGGCTGTCTCACGCCAGCATCCATTCTACTCAAAACCATGCTCAGAATAAGCCAAATGAGTCCACGCTCTGCCAAAAGCTACGCTGCTTTTTCTTGCTTTATGAGTTCATCACTCCTGCTTTCCTGAGTGGAAAATAATAGGGACAGTCATAGATTTTGTTTGATTAGAAGGAACCAAAGTCTGAGTGTGGTGGTGCATGCCTGTAATTCTAACACTTGGGAGGCTGAGGCAGGAGGATTGAGAGTTCCAGGCCAGTTACATAGTCAGACCCTGTCTCAGAAAAACAAATAAAGAACCCTAAAATCAAGCTTTCTTTCCATTCAGCTTCCATAAAACTTCTCTTATGGCCAGCGCTTGACAGTTCATAGCAGATGTACCACAAAAACATCAAGAAATAAGTTCAAGGGCCTGCTGCAGTGCTACATACCTATAATATCAGCTACTGAAGAGGCAGAGACAGGATTGAGGTTCAAAGCCTGCCCAAAGTTATCAAGACTCTATCTTAAAAAAAACAGAAGGACTAGGGAGTATGATTCCAGTGCTTGAGTGCTTGCTTAGCAAGTGCAATGCCCTGAGTTCAATTCCCAGTACTACAAAAAAAAAAAAAGTTCACTGGGCAGCAGTGGAGACACAAGGGTATTTGAAGGAACTCCCTGAGATTGTCCCAGAGTTGAGAATAAGCCTGGCTCAGGCTGCCAAGATGTGACTAGATGTTTCCTGTTCTCCAGAAACCCACAACCTAAATCATGCCTCTAGTAAGAGGACCATTCCTCTCCCTGCCCCAACCAAACAGCAGGATCACAGCTGGGCTCAAAACTCTTAGCCCACACACCAGGCAAAGCCTGTGAGACCCAGGAGAGAGGACATGTTCTTTCCAGAGAAGCGAGAGGAAAATTACTATTGCTGCTCATGAGTAGTTTTCCAGATTGGTTTCCACTGAGAAACTGTGGCTGTGTCTCATCTCTCCTGTTTGTTTTGGATCTCTGTTGTTTTTACAAAAGCAACACATGGCCTGGCACCCGTGGCTCATGGCCCATAATTCCAGCTAACCCGGAGGCAGAGATCAGGAGGATCATGGTTCGAAGCCAGCCCAGTAAATTGCTCTATCTCGAAAAAAAAAAAATGACTAAAAAGAGCTGGTTCAAGTGTAGGCCCTAAGTTCAAACCCTAGTACCACAAAACAAACAAACAAAAACCCCACATGCTCACTGTGCCAGTCAATCGTCCAGGTATTTCTATGCACACGCCAACATGCTGGATCTGTTACTGCATGTATTGTTCTGCAAGCTGAGACTTGAGATGACGGAAGGACGGGACTAGGGAGATGGGTTAGGGAGCATGAATTTGTGGACAGTCAACTGTCAGGTCTTTGACTCCTTCTTGAGGTTTGGATCATTGTAGGGGAGGTGGACAGGGGCCCTAGGGAAAGACAAGCATGTGTGTGTGTGTGGTGGTGGGGGGGGGTGGAATGAATGGAGCACCTGAATCTCACCCTTTCACTTAAGAAAAAAAGTGAATGGGTCATATTGATTTCAACCTGGAAGACTGTCATAGGGGAATTGTGTTGGGAGGAGTGTAGACAATTTGGTAAGGAGATAGTCAGTGAGACAGCATTCAAGTCTTTGCTTGCATTTAGTTTTGAATTTTAGGTGAAAGGACCAATAAAAGAGGTGCTAGGAAGACTGAGTGGCGCTGTGCATAGGAGTTGAGGGACAATGAAAGATTGTATGGCAACTCTCAGCTTAATGACAACCTGTTTCTGGATGGACTGGAGAGAATCCAGTAACTATTGATTTAGTTACAAACATCAGGTTGGCAGAGTTAGAAAGAAAGTTGCTGTACAGTGATTCAAGTTGCACTTACGGTGAGACATGTTCAAACTTTCCACATCTTGTCCATTGGGGGAAGTGCAAGGGATGAGGTGCAGAGGCCCTGCACACCTGGCCAATCCAGGAAGAGGATGAGGTGGCCCCACAGTAGTAGCTGGGTTGCCCAAGGGAAGCCAGAGGAGGACAGTCTCTCAACAGGAGGCTTCAGAGGACTTTGAGCAGGGGTCTTTGGAGAAAGCAATGAGAGTATGTGCAGAGTCCAAGGGTAAGCAGGAGCCTCAGACACTGCTGGCTGAGTGAGCAGGACACCCAGGGTGGCCTTTGGTAGCAGAGGGAGGAGAAGCCAAATGGAAGAAGGTTCAGGAAAAGGCACAAGAGTGGTTTGGCCTCCTCACAGAGGAGAACCATTGAGGAAGGAGCCAGAGCCATCATCTCCAGCAATCCCTCACACAGGCTACTGGAGGCAGGAACACCAATGCTGGCAACAGGTTCACCCTAAAGTAGAGCATCTATGGGCCTGCCAATCACAGTTGTCACCCCAGTTCTCAACCCCAGGCCAACCCCAGTGCCTCTGCTTCATTCCTGAGCCTCAGAGCTCTGGAAACTCCAAATAGAGCTATTGAAATCCATGCCGGACACCCAAGCTATCAGCGGAGGGAGCAGCTGGGACTCAAGTCTTGTTCCTGATTTTGTGTTTCTTTCTCCCTCCTCCTTTAGATTGCGGTGTGTGTGGGCGTGTCCTCATCTGGCAGCCCTTCTGTGCCCCACGGTTGATGTCCAAGGTTTTGACTGTGTGGGTTTGTGTCTTTCCGGCAGGTGTCTCCTCTGTGACTTCCCTGATGTCCCTGGCTTGGGTGCTAGCCTCCTATCACAAGCTGCTGCGGGACTCCAGGGACGACAAGAAGAGCATGAGCTACAGAGGGGCCCTCATCCACCTCTTCTGGCGCCTCTTCACCATCTCATCCCGAGTTATCTCTTTTGCCCTTTTTGCTTCCATCTTCCAGCTATACTTCGGGATCTTCGTGGTGGTGCATTGGTGCGCCATGGCCTTCTGGATCATCCATGGCGGGACAGACTTCTGCATGTCCAAGTGGGAGGAGATCCTCTTCAACATGGTGGTAGGGATTGTGTACATTTTCTGCTGGTTTAACGTCAAGGAAGGGCGGACTCGATATCGAATGTTTGCATACTATGCAATAGTCTTGACTGAGAATGCTGCCTTGACGTTGCTTTGGTATTTTTACAGAAACCCCGAGACCACTGACTCCTATGCGGTGCCAGCACTGTGTTGTGTCTTTGTTAGTTTCGTGGCTGGGATCGCGCTGATGCTCTTATACTATGGCGTGTTGCATCCCATGGGGCCTCGGGTTAAGGTCTTTGCCAGCTCCTGTTGTGCCGAGCTGCTCTGGGGCATCCCTTTGCCCCCCGATGTTGAGCCCATGGCACCTCAGACCCCTGGGTACCGGGGGACCCAGGTCACGCCCACCAGAGCCGTGACGGAACAACAGGAGGATCTCACGGCTGACACTTGCCTGCCCGTGTTCCAAGTGAGACCCATGGGGCCCTTGACCCCGTCGGGGCGTCCTTACCACCCAGAAGGACCCCTCATAAAGATTGACATGCCAAGAAAACGGTACCCTGCCTGGGATGCTCACTTTGTAGACAGGAGGCTGAGGAGGACTATTAACATCCTGCAGTACGTCACCCCCACGGCAGTGGGCATTCGTTATCGAGATGGGCCGCTTCTCTATGAGTTGCTGCAGTATGAGTCTTCGCTCTAGAGGATTTTGATCCAAGTTGAGAAGGGGACCTTAAGTTTGGTTGCGGTTAACGCCGCTTGCAAGAAATATAACCCTCCCTTCCCCAATACACAGAACCACCACCACCACCACCACCACCACCACCACCACCACCACCAACACCAACACCAACACTAACACTACAAAAAAAAAAACAAATCAATAAGTCACATCCCCTTCAGATAAGCTTTCTTTCCAGTCGCTGTATGTATACAAAGATATTCTCTATGTTTTGTAAGTAAAAACAAAAAGAAAATCTTTCTTTTGTTTTTTACACATAAGAAACAGTATTGAAAAATCCCACACTATGGTTCATAGGGTGGAGAAGGAGTTGTCTCCTCTCCAGAAGAAAAAAAGTTTTATACCTTACACCAAGTATAGATCATTTATGGGATTGGTGCTGATTGAAAGAACAAAACAAAACAAAACAAAACAAACACAAACAAACAAACCTTCAACTGCCTTACGCCCTTAGGTGCTGAGTTTCATTAAGTACTGTCACACTTTCTCATGCAAACCTCTCTGGTGACTTTTGCACCAGGAGAGGGAAAATTAAATAATCAAATGAAACAAATCTACCAATGAAACAAAAAACAACCAACAAATACAATACAAAGCATCATTCTTCCTATCTGATTATTTGTATTGACAAAAACAAATTTACCCAAAGCAAAAGCATAGAAACCTCCCTGTCCTTCAGTTTCTCTTCTTCCTCTCCTGCCCCTTCCTACTTCACAGAGCCTTTTAGGAGCTAAAGGGCTGTTTGAATTTCAAATGGCTGGAACAGCTACTTGAAGGCTAACTATGTGCCATTTTAGCATTCAACTAGCAAGAATTACATGTGTTTCCCTGTGAAAAGCAAAACAGAACAAAACAAAAAGGCACCTTCGCAATTTGGTAAATTCTAAAAGCAAATAAAGGAGAATTCCATATATTCCATCAAAGAGAATCAGTAATAATAAAACTCAGCATAGTAGCAAAAAGAATGACATCAATTTAAAGGCACAATACTTAATTGGTGACTGGCAACAATGATCTTTTCCATCACTTTAAGGCTGCGAATGGTGTATGTGTTTCACATGGATCAGTGTGTAAGGCCTCTTGTGTTTCCATTCCGTGGGAAGCCTTAAATTGATCTGGAAAGAATTCATTTTTTTCATTTGTGCTTTTTTTTAATAACAAAAAGAGGAAAACTAGAATATATATATATATATATATACACACATATAAAAAAAGTCAAATTGTAATAACCAACCCATTTCAAAGACTGTTTGGTGCTTCTGTCATTGTGGTTGGCTGAAAATCATTCAGCTCACTTGGTGCATCTGGGTTGAGTGGGAAATTGTGTGTGTGTGTGTGTGTGTGTGTGTGTGTGCCCCCATAGCACATGTATGTATGTGTGTGTCCCTTCTGCAAGGTCTTGCCAGAAATACACAAAACTAATGTGAGACAGACGCCCTTGATGGCTGATGGAGGGTGCCCGAGGGGCTGGGCGGGGAGGTGGGGGACAGTGCTGCCTGCGTGGAAGTCCTTCTGGAGAGTGGGTCCCCACTAGAAGCACAGACAGCTCTTCCAGACAATGTTGTGTGGGTGAGGATTTGATTCAACTGTTTATTTTCTCGTTGTACCAAGTTTGAATTTCTGGAGGTGTATGTTCTATCATTTGTACCATGCTTATTTTTCAAAGTATTGTTTCCTTAAGAACTTTTTGTGTTCTAGGGCATTGTTTTAATACCATTGTATCTCTACTTGGGCACAAAAAAAAAAAAAAAAAAAGGAAAAGAAAAATATCTCCACAAAAAGATATATATATATATATATATATATACATATATGTATGAGTATATATATATGCACACACACAATATTTTTAAGTAAATCTGTTAGTCTTTGTTGTGTGTAGTTGCGATTTTTAAAAAAAAAATTCCAGATATAACCATTTAGGGTGCAAGACCTCACATTGAACTGTTCTTAAAAGAAGTTCAAAAACTGAGGAAATTTTTTTTTATGTTTGTGGAGTTTTTAAAAAAAGTTATTATTTAAAGAGGCTTCTCCTTCCCACCACCTTCGTTGTTCATCTTGATTTTTAAAACTATTTATCAGTTGTAAAGCCACACACTCTCTCTCCTTTGTTCAGACCTCCTTGATTCATGTGCTATGTCACTTTTGCAGTGGCCTTGCCCCACCCTGACGGGGATCCCCATGCTAGAAAGCAGGACAGAGCAGAGCACACCAGGCCATGGTAAAGACCACCGGCTGCCTCTGCCCAGCAGGGGACAGGCCCATGGGCCACCTCAGCTCCTCGAGAGTTTGCCTGGACAGGGCTGAGTTCCTCAGCATCTCCTTGTCACTCCTTGCCTATCCTTACTCTGCTGAAGTCAAGGAAGGTGAGGCCGCGCAGTAGGGGTGGGGGTGGGGGGTGCATCTGCTTTGACTGACTGGGGTCCCAGCTCTTGTCTGCTCCAGCGCTGGGGCTCTGTGCTTTACTGGAACAGCTCCCTGAAGCTGTCCCCTGGGGACCTCTGCCACTTCAGCTTGTTTGTCTATTCTTGGATGCATGTCCATTTTATTTCTTTTGTGCTTCCACCCCATCACAGGTTTGAACTCTCCACCTCTATTTTACTATTCCATATTTAGCACACACATGTGCTTGTATGCTTGCACATGTGTTCATGTTTACACAAAACTTAAGAAGAAAACTGCGGGTATTGTTGACCAGGAGTACCCAGAGTTGGGAGGACAGCTTCCTGCTCAGGGAGGCAGCAGCCACTGGGAGGAAAGGTGACCCCACAGCATTTCTCCAGCCCTTTCCTCCTGCCTGGGTTGGGGCGCTGTTCTTTCTTCAATGGCAACCCCACCTCTTCTCCCCAGCCGTCCATCATGCTTTACCTTCCTCAGTAATGCAGTTGTAAATGGGCCTGTGGGCAAGGAAAGCCACAGAGGCGGGAAAAGGAGCAGTCAGTGAACAGACCAGAGTTTTCCTTTGTCACTGCGTCTTCCTCATCTTATAACCTCTCCCTCTTCCCAGTCACCAGGAAAGCACTCTCTCCTCTTATCCTAGGCTTCAACCCCTCCTGGTATCTTCTCTTCCCACATTGTCCTTCTCCTTCAGAGACTGCTGGTTGATCCTGACATTACTATAGACTCTGAACTCATGCTCAGTGCTTCAAGCCCATCTGGGAAGTCTGTCTGCCTGTCCGGATGACATGAATCCTGAGAACCCATATTCTTAAGAGTGCTCTATAGTGGGGCAACTGCACCCAATGAGGCATGGTGGTCTCATCCCCTAGGAATTTGCTTAGAGTCTGCCATCTGCCTGGATCCCCAACAACCTCCCCTTTTATGGTCGTTCTGACCATACTGACTCCCAGTGTACTCAGTCCACTGTGTTTTTTAAAAAGAAATCTCTTGACCTATTTCTTTCCCAGGAACCCCTGATGACAAAGACTCAATTCCTAATATTTAGTTCTGATGGAAGGTACACCTATTGGTATAGAAGCTATAGAATAAAACTACCCTCTTTTCTTTCCTCATTGTTCTCCCCCTTTGAGTATGCCCACAAACTCTCATATTTCATTCCTCTAACCACATAAAACATTTGGCTCTCCCTTTTGTTCTAAGAAATAGGTTATATCACCATATTGGGACTGGTTTTGGTAGCATCGATTCTTCAGGCTTATGTAGGTCTGCCTCTCTCTCAGCCTCTGTATGAAGAGGAACCTCAGCCTGCTTAGATAACTTTTTGGGGGAGGTGTTCACTGAGCTCATTGCCACAGCCTGTGACATCCCAAATGGAAGCTTCATTTCTCTTAAGGCTATAATAGGGGAAGGAGGAGCTAAGAGGGTCTAAATCAGTCAGATCTGCCCCACTGACCTCACTTGCCCCCGAGTTTCTCACACACTCCTCCACTCTGTCTCTGGAAGGTGTCACCCTGCTCAGACTTGTCTCTAACAAGTTGGGAACCCGGATGCTGTGAGAAACAATCACACCCCAAGCAGACTGGAGGCCAAATGGGGTACCATGGAGTCAGGTCCCATCTCTCTTTACTGCACGTGTTGCATGTTCCCTACCTCCTGAGGACGCCCATGCCCTCATCCACAGGCACAGAATCACTCAGTACTCTGTAGTCTCCACCCCCACCCCAACCAGCCATGGCCCCTTGAGTACCACAATGGCTAAGAGAAGGCAGAGTGTCTGGCCAGGCGGGTGACTCCCCTGGTCCTGTAGCATCTCATGCCAAATGCTCAAGCCCTGAGTCAATACAAACCTGATTCTCAGAAAAATTTGCGTTATTTTAAAGGACATCAAATTTCAACATTTCTCCCATTCTTCCACCACCTGGATGCTGATCTCCTTTGGAGCAGCTCTGATTGAGACATGCCCTACTTCTTCCAAACAGCCTCAGGGTTCCTATGGGCCAATAGAAAGCTCACACTTTCCTTTTCCCTGTCTATTCTGTGCCCCACCTCAAACCCCAAGCCTTGATGCTTCCAGACCTCAGCAAAAATTTCTATATCCCTTTCCAAGGAACAGAGCAAGAGGCCATCTGTGAGGCTAATGGCTGCTGGTATAGAGAAACAATGTCTGATCCAAAGGTGAGAGAGACTGGAGAGAATTCTACAGATCTCCTCTCCTGTCCTGGCTCTCAGATGGAGTAGGCTGGGGATGGTCTGCTAGCATACATTTGGCCCAGAGACTGGCATTTTCTTTGCCAAACAAAAAACTATTAAAATAACACTACCAGATTTGTTTGGCAAGGCCCATGGGATATAAATTAGAAGACTTTAAAGCTCTTTATAATTTCACCTAGATCCAAGTGACAGTCCCAGTGTCAGCTGGAAAACTGCCAGGGAGATGTGGGGGAACTGCAGGGAGTCCTGAGAAAGAATATGAAGGGGAAGACCCCAAGTGACTGACCCCTTTAGGCACTGGACCAGCCTGCCAGGTTGCAATTCCATTCATTGCAGCTCAAACAGCTCGATAGGGTACTCTGATTAGGGTATTCTGGGTGTACTCTAACATCCAGCATAGGCATCCTATAGGAAATGAGCTTCACTCGACTTTGGCTCTTCTTGTTAAGGTCAGATGTGAATGAACAAGTGCTATGGGAGCTTCCTCCAGGTTCAAGTCTAGGCCCCTTTCTCCTCATCCCAAGTCACAAAAGCAACCTTCCATGCTGACCCATAGCCCAGCCTTGGAACACAATAACGGTAGTTGTACCTGACTGCAGGTTACAAACCCTCAAGATTGCAAGAGGACCGTCCCTGAGTATCCTGAATCAACATGTGCCTGACCCACCTTTAAAGCAAGTAAAAATGTGAAAAGGCACTCTGCTCTCTCAAAGGCTTTTTTGTCTGGGCCCCTCCCAAGGAAAAAGATGATCTTACTCTGAATTCTTGCAACAGCAACACTCGTCTTGCCCTCACCCATCTTTAGCTGTCTTAAAGGTTTGGTTTCCTGCTTGCTTGAAACTCTGCATCTTGTGCTATTGGCCAAATATCAAAAGACACTGCCTTGATCTGGCTGCAGCTTTCTCCTCTGCCTTACTTGACTCTCCTGGCACCATCTGCTTCTTCTTGCTCCCTGTGCCTTCCTTTGCAGTGGCTGGCAGGACTGGGTTGGAGTGTTCTGGAGACAAAGGTCGTGAGTACTATTAATGACAACTCCTGAGGGTAGCAGACGGACCACTGCAGGAGATCCCATTCCCTAGGCCAGCACTTGTGTCAAGGGCTAAGAATAGACCACAGCGGACATGAGCAGGCAGGACCTAGGGACACCTGACCCAGACTGTCCCTCACAGTGTGTAGGTCCCAGTAGGAGATGCTGCCCTTGCTGCATCCCAAGACTCCACCCCAAAATGAAGTCAGTCTGCAATTCTATGCTCTTGGCTCCAGGGAAGACGATTAAAAATCAACCACAAACCAAGGAGGATGAAGATATTTATGATTTCCCTTTGGTATAATGCCAATTGGTAACCCGGTG